GCCTCAGTGGGAACCTCACTGTGCCTCTTACTAGCTGTGTGACCTTGAGCAAGTCACTTAACGTCCCCAAAACTGCTGCAAAGTGTTGAGGGGAAAAGTAAAGACCGCAGATCCTGCGTACTGGGTTTTTTACACTGTACCTTAGTCCGTTTGGGTTGCTATTATAATAAAATAACAGGCTGGGTGACGTATAAACACCAGAATTGTATTTCCCATAGCTCTGGAGGCTGGAAGTCCATGGTCAGGGTGCCTTCATGGTCAGGTTCTGTGTCTAGTGAGAGCCTGCTTCCCAGTTCATAAATGGCCACCTTCTAGCTATGTCCTCACGTGGGGAAGGGGCAGGGGAACTATGTGGGGCCTCCTTTATAAAGACACTGATCCCGTTCATGAGAGTTTCTCCCTCACGACCTGTTCGCCTCCCAAAGGCCCTGCCTCCTAACACCCTCACACTGGGTATCGGCTTCAGCATGTGAATTTGGGGTAGAGCGGGAGTGCGGTGGGGGGATACCATACACGTTCAGATCATAGCACACTGCTTAATAATGTGTGTCCTAGTATCACCTTTTGTTGAGCAGTTATCAATTTTCTATCATTTTGACATGTAGAAACACTGTCTTGGACTCTTAATTAAAATTTTAAATAGAAAAAGAGTTCCTTGGCAGTCACAGATGTTATGATTTTCTTTATGAAACAGAATATATTGATATTTTAGAAAAGACCAAATCATTGAGAACATCTTCTGAATTTTACCAAAGTTCTAGAGGGAATTTGCAAAAGGGGAGGAAACTCCCAAATGAATTTGGCAGGTGTGAGGGATGAGCTTTGCTGTCCTTTGAAGTTTTGTTAGATGTAAATTGATCACATTGGAAAATGGAAGTGGCTTGAATTCTGTGAAACATCGCTTCTTCGTGTCTGATCCTGTGGACCCTGCCTTGGCCACTCTGAGTGGGCGTCCACCTGTGGTATCGGGGACATCCAATGCAGACTGAGGATTAGGAGATGGGGGTTTGAACCCTGGCTCTGTCACATCTTAGCTTGTCATCTTGGGCTACCTAGTTAAATCTCTCTGAGCCTCAGTTTTTTCATTATAAAATCTGAGATGCTTATGCTTATCTTATAAAGCCATTGAGGGGATTAAAGGAGGTGACAAATGGAATGCACACAGCAAGACCCTAGTAGGTCCTTGATTCATTGAACTATTTTCATAAGCTATTTGCATAACTGTATAATGTAATCTGATACATACTATACACAATGTTCATGTAAGGTTATACTTATATATCTTTTATTATATAGTTATGTGTTCTACAATAATATATAACTCTTTTTAAATGATAGTATTTCAGAGTTTCCTAGAACACTGAGATCATATTCTCGAATACCTTTCACATTTTTTAAGCAGTGGAATCTATCTCCTTTTCCTTCCCCACAAACATCTTCTGTAGAACCAGAATAGCTGAGACTGGAAACGGGGGGAGGTGCTTCGGAAGCAGTGCTGAGGGTCCCCAAGCCCTAGCAGGCTCTCCCTTTAGCTACTCCTGCTCACCACGTGGGGACACCCTCGGAATTGATTGAAAACAGCTGCACTAGGCCAGTCTTCATTCTCTTTCAAGGTCTCAGAGTGCTTGGGTAGAGCTAAGGCCAGAGCCCACGTGTGTGACCTTGAAGTTGAACTCGCAGGCCCTGTGCGGTGTTACAGGGCTGCTGATCCCTCTCCCTCATGGGAATTGCAGCCTGTTTTCCTCCGCATGGCAGCCATTCCCAGCGTAGAACCTGGTGCTTTGAGAAACCGCTGGCTCCATCCCTGGGTTTCCTGGTGGCCACACTGAGGCTTTATGGCTGTGAAAGCCAAAAGGAAATCACAACACTTAAGTACAAAGTGGGACTGACGTAGGCAGCATCTCTCATTGCAGCCTGAACCGTGGTGTGCATCTATGGCTATTTGACTGGCACTGATTTTCAAGCAGTTGAAACAATTTTGTTTAAGGCCGTGAACTTTCACTTCCCTGTACAGGTGTCAGTGTCGGGTGAGGATCCATTTGCTGTGTTCGTCACTTTGGAGGAGCCAGCAGACCTGGTTAGCACAGGCCGTGGTCATTGACTGTTACAGAGAAGTCAGACTTTTCTGGCCTTAGGGTTTTTTGTCTGGAAATGCTGTAACCTTTTCTCCAGACTTCATCAGCCTATGTGGGCTGCGGTCTGTGACATAAATGAGCCGTATTGGGAAGCCTTTGATCAGAAGATGAATACAAGAAGACATTATTATGTAAATGAGTCTAGATTTTTTTCCACAAGAAAAGTTGGGCCACTTCCTTGGCAGATGTGAGATGGATGGCCTTTTACTGCTGTCTTGCGTTAGAGACTCTTGGTTCTCCGTAGAAGGGCTGAAGTGGAAAAACACATGGCCAGGCCATGCTGGGATGTAGGGGTGTCACCATTTAATGTGTGGGGTCCCATGGTGCGCCTGCATCCGCTCTCCGTGGAAGAGGACCTGGGAGCAGTTTTCGTAAATATTTCATTCGGAACTGATGGCAGTCACAGCACAGCCGAGCCCTGGAGCCCTTTTCCAAGGGGAGGGGATGGTTTCCTGCTCGTGCTATTTGTCCTCTCTTATTCCAAGGGCGCTGACAGCTCAGATCAGCTCCAGTGCTGAGTTTTGCTGTGAGTTGTGACGCATGTGGCCAGGAATTTGTTAATGATAATAAAGTACCGGGGTTGGTGAATTATTTACTTTTTCTCCCATGAGTAAGTAGATTCAGCATCGTCTTGGTAATAGTAATAATCACCACAAACATGACACTCCAGGCCTCTGCCGGGGCAGCCCTTTCCTTACATCTTTGCATTAAATGGGAGAAACATTGTTAGTGTCCCCACGTGAGACACGAGGAAACTAAGGTTTAAAGGGGTGATGTGACTTGCCCAGGGTCCCACTATAGAGCTGCAGTGTCACTTTATCCCCCAGCATGGCAGGATGCTTTTGTGAATGGAAAGTAAGGGACCTTGGGCTGGCCTTTACGGGTCCAGAATTTCAGTTAACACGGGGGCAGCAGCATAGAACCAGAAGCCGTATCGTGGTGGGGCTGGGACCTGAAACGCAAGCTAATGACTTTCCATTAGAGGAGCACATTCCATTTCTGGACCAAAGTATCCCAATTACTTTAGCCCTGAGGGCTTCTAAGACTCAAGACTTAGGTATGGAGGACGTGACAAAGGACGGCCAGAACCAAGTCTCACCTTGGTTAGTGCTCTGCTTCTACCAGCCGGAAGCAGGCCTTGTGCACACAGGGGCCGGTGGGGGCGGCGGGGAGACAGGAGGGGTGGGAAGGAAGGAAGGAAGGAAGGAAGGAAGGAAGGAAGGAAGGAAGGAAGGAA